TAATTTAGAGTTTCATTAAATTCATTTCCGAGCATTACACTATAACACCCCAACTAGACCACCTTCATTAAAGGAGGGGAGTTCTAGTCGAATGTTCGCCCAGCTCTTGCTTGGTCTCAATAATAGTTGAGTTGGTAATCAAGAGAGATAACTTTGACATATGTTATGCCGTAAGTTGAATGTTGATGATTGATATTAAAGAGCATGGACTACTATTACAAACCTACTCTGAGAACTTTTAGATTACAGTGTTTAAATAAATAAAGGTAAGACGGCCTAAAGTACAGAGTACGCACAGCTATGACTTGATTTTATGATCACGAGCAAGGCCCTTTCCTTCGAAATGCCAGAAGAACTAAACCACCCTTGTTCCTGGAATAATAGGGAAAAAAGTATATGTTTGATAAGCGTACGCTCAATGAGGTCTCATCGGTTACTGAATATCAAATTAGGTGATAACATAGACAAGTAAGTTTTCATAGTGGGCAAAAACAGACAAAGAAATCCAAGTACTGAAACTTATTAAAGTAAGGCATAACTTATCATCTGAATCTGCAACCTCACTATTCGACAGGCATGTCAAAACTAAGCAAAACACATATCACCGATAAACATTCAAAACACTTATAAAGATGGTGGATATGGCGAGTTCCAACAAGAGTCTAGTCCTAGCCTTTTAAGGCCGTAGAAAGGCTCGAGTCAGACTCATGATAATGATGAACAATGAGCATTACAATGGCCGCATACGTATGCATTTCATATCGCCAGCCTCATCCAACAGTCAAACGATAACGAATAATAATATCTCGAGATTTTACCTGACAGCACCTTCTAGCGGTCTATCTGATACGATTTAGGCCGATGCTGACTCGTTCAAAGTCGACTCAACTTGTAGGGGCATGGATCCATGTCTTAAAGGAGGTTGTATGCACGAATAGGCATGCACTTAAGCAATTGGTATAGAAAGTATCAAGTAATCTTAATACACGTGTGATAGAGTACACGCAGTCACAAAGAAGTAACTAAACAAAAGATAAATAGTTGCCACATTGCTTGCAATCAAGCAAATGTTTAGAGTCAAATGTTCAATCTAGACAACTAACCGATGCGATAAAGTACACATGCGGGACAAATATAGTTATGCTCTATCACAAAACTTGCAGCAAGATTCACAAGTAGCAGGCATCCATTTTGATTCACTAACTTAACCAGTTACATGCAATTAATTAAACAGGGAGATTACTCACCTTAATGCGAAGATCAAAAATACCTTGAACCCTACGAGTTGTAGGTAGTGTGCTTAAAGTAGAACCTTGTATTCCATTAGACAAGGATTGAATGCAAAAAATGGCATACCCTTGACGAGTCATAGATTAAACCCTAACCCTAATGGGTTTGGGCCGGCTATCTTGGAAGTTAAGTCATCGACTAAACCTAATTTGACTAGGTTTAGGGAAACAGGTAACACCACCTCTATATAAAGAGGTGGTGCCTCCCTCATAATTGATATCTGATGAGAATCATGTAGCCTTCCATGGTGATTCTCCTAGTGAGGGGAATGAACTAGTCCTTCATTCTAATTTTGGAATGCCAAGTTTACTTTGCAGGCCAATCAAGGAAGAAAGGATGGATCTTGACTACCTATGTGATAGGGAGTTGGTTCAAGAGAGCTATGATCAAGATGATGAGAATGTCATTAACTTTGGGGTTCAAACCAAAGCAGATGATGACCTCATGGAAATAAGTGCTGAAGAGTATCTAGAGAGTTTGACTCGGTGTGCTCCATGAAGATCATTGATCAAGCTAGTGAGAAGAGTCATTTAGGTTCTTGAATGGACAGCCTATTTGATCAAAGTGTTCAAGATTGAGTCCATTGCTACACAATTGGATAAATTGCAAACTATCTTAATTGTTTCAAGTATTTTTCCAATCTTTTGGAGTCAATAAAGAGAATTCTACCAGTTTTGGAGTAAATTGGAGTTATCTACAACATAAGGGGCGCAAGACCAATATTCCACTTTTGGAAGGGTGTTCAAGACATTTTACTTCAACAATTTGGGAGCTGAATTTCGAGATTTAGTTGTTGTCTAAGTCTAGGAGTTATTTTCGAGTTTTATCTAGTTAGATAAGCCATGTGGGCTGAATAAAACTAGAGTGTTTTGATTAGGAGTCTTAGATTCCTTCTAGATTTTAGCCTAATTGAGGATAAGTCATTTAGATAAGGTTTCTTAGATTTTAGATAGAGTCAAAGAGATCAAATACTCTTCTACTTCTACTCCTTGTGAGATAAGATTAGAGAGTCCTAATTGATCTTCTTCTTTAGGTGCTAGCCGAATTCCTAAGCCTATAAATAGGGGGCTTGGCCAAAATTTCAAAGCACCCTTGAGTGGTCATTTTTGTTGTCTCTTTTGAGAGTTTTTCCTATTAGAAATTTTTGTTAAATGGAGTGTCCATTTTCCGTGTCAAGTATAATTTAACCAAGAGGGTTTTCATCTTGTCTTGGATCTTTTTGATCTTGCAGAAACCGTTCTTTTTCAAGTATGATTCTTGATAGAATTGTTTTAAAACAAAACTTCTTATTTTCATACTACTTCTAGTAGTTCGATTAATGAGCCTTTCTTTTGGCTTGGTGTTCGAATTTCATGATGAGTGTGTACATGAGATCCATTGTGGGGTTTGTCCTACTTTCGTTGGATGAGTTATGCTTTGGCATAAGCATTTTGAGATAGTGTATGTGTTGCATATCTTTGGTTGGTTATAAAGATTTCTAATCAATAGTATTCCTTCATAGTTGAGCATTGCTTGCTCCTACCTTTCTTGAGTCTCTTGAATGATGACTGATCGAGTATATTGAATGGTGTCCTTGCTATTCTTAGCGTGGGTTGTTGCTTAATTCGAATCTATCATGGATAATGTGTTCTTTGCTTGGTTTGAGTTAAGGGATAGAATCACTTAGATAAACGATCGTCTTACTGTGAATTTTTCGCACTCTTTTGAGTTTCACAGGATAGACAAATTATCTTCGTACTTTCTTGTTGATGGTTGCATTAACGAAATTTGCTTCGTCTACGAGATTGCTATCAGTATCGGATACACGTATCTTCTACCTCTCTCCCTATTCTTTCTATCCCTTTATTGACTTCAGCATCGGAGAGTCTACCCTCGGGAGACACCCGAGGCTCTGTCTTGAAGGTTTTAGGCCGTCCGCCGCCGCCTAGATCATCATCGCCGCCCATCCTAAGGCACCGTACAAATCCAAGCTTCGTCAACCCTGAACTAGAATAATATTCTAGTTCAGGGTTTTGCGTTTCATATAAGCCTTGTAAAAGAACTAAAGTTCTATTAGTAATTATATAGCTTTGCTAGTTTGTTCTATTGGCAAATTGATTATAAACATTCAAAATCGTCGGTAGTTGTTGTCATCGGCAGCAGTATGCGGTCTTACCAAATTGGAGATAACTCTATGCATATAATTCCAATTTAAATCAGATTGATGCATTGTAAAGTGGACTCGTAGATCTTTTCAACGGTATAAAGTAAGCACATAGATCCATCTTAGATTAGTATAGATTAAAATCAGTGAAGTTCACCCTAAATCTGTTACAACATTTCTTTATTTATTAAATTACATTTTATTTCAAAAGTTAGCCATTTATATAATGGACCTCACAAATTGTACTCGTTTGAGGAACTCCCTTATCAATTAGTGGCTAAGTATAACTTAGAGATAGTTGAGAACTTTTGGTCTTTAATTAGGTTGGATTGTTAATGATAGGGACATCTCGACATAGTTAATTTATTAAATTATATGCTTAATAGTATAGAAAATATAGTTAAAGGTCAAGATTAATTAAATTATGATGTAACAAGAACCTAAGCAATAAAGAGTAATGGTAGTTGTATACAAGAAATAACATCCGACTAATAGTTTCGGATTATTTGATACATTGCAGGAGACACTTGTACGGGCTTTTTCCCAAAAAAATTATTTAAAATAAATGTAGACAAATTTGAATTTTTCAGAATATTAGTGGACAAAAATATATCTCTCGAATTTTCGAAATCCAAGTTCTAATTAAAATTAAAGATTCGAATTTCTTAAATCCAAGTCTACATTTAATAATAAAATAATAATTAAATAAATTTTGTTGAATAATAGTTTTTAAAAATTCTTAAATGAACAGTGCCGTTCGAATTTCCGGAATCCGAATTTAGTTAAAAAATATTTCGGAATCCAGAATCCAAAATATTTGAACTCAAATATGGAATCCAGGACCTGGACTCCTTAAATGAACAGTAGTACTCGGATTTACAAAATCCGAGTGTACAAAAAGAAAAAAGAAAAAAAGAAAATCGAGGCGCGAAATTTTTGAATCCAAAAACCGGAAGTCTGTAATCCGGTTTTCTGTATTCGGATTTTGAAAATCCGATTGCCTTTAATTTTGGTTGGTGGAAGTAGGCATGTGCCATAAATTGGAGGACCAAAATATGAATAAAAATTTCGGAATTGACCAAACTTGGATTCAGGAAATCCGAGGCCGCGGTAATTCGGATTTCTAAAATCCGAGTTACTTACGGACTCGGATTTCGTAAATTCAGACAGTTCTCATTCGAGAACTGAGTTGGATTTTCTGTTTTTGCAGCTCAAACAAGGGCGAATTGGAGCTTTTGATGCATTCTTGCCTCTAGATACGTGGGAATCATTATTTGAAAGAGGTTAGATTGTAAAACTATGTTATCTAGTTTAGTTTTGTGTTATTTTGATTGTTAGAATGATGTATGATAGATTATGGTTTATGTTGGTTGGTTGTTTGGATGTTTTGGGTGTTAATTTTGAGGTTAAAGATGAGAAATCATAGTTATTCATGAGATATGGAAGTTGATTTATAAGTATTTTAGTATTTTATAGGTTTTTTGAATTATGAATGGAGTATGTATGGTGTATTTGTTGATTTTGTTATTAAGAAATGATTAGTTGATGTTTTTTTTAACAGTTATCAATGGCACGTAATGTACCATACATGCTTAATTTGTATCATACAAGCAAGTATGTGATAGAGACTGGTAGCATCAACACTTTTTCGAATATGCCGGATGATGGTTTGTTTGTTGAGGAAAGGTTGTCATATGAGGGATTGATTAGTAAGATTTGTATGACACTTTGTTGGGATCCAGCACACGTGAAACTCCACCTTTCTTTGATTTTCGATAGTCCCAGTGGTAGACACGTGAAGATCAAGAATGATTCGCATGTAGAGTTCATGAACCGTGTAGATCCAATGTCATGTTTGGATTTATACATAGATTTGGAAGATATCACTCAAGAAGAAAGAGAAGCGAGTTTGGAAAACGTGTCATTTGGTGGTTTTCCAAGGGGGGAACGTGCTAGTACTTCTCGAAACCGTGATGAAGAGGAGACACCTTTATTTGCACAAGATGACTGCGGGGAAGAGTTGGATTCCGACTACATAGCTCCAAGTGAAAGCGAAGAAGACTGTGATGTCTCCGGAGAGAGTGATTTTGAAGAAAGTGATGATGAAAGGTTGGAAAATGAGGAAAGGGATCGTAATCCATTGCCCTGACGCCATGTATATAGTAAGATGAGGAAATGGGATACCTCATGTGTGGACAAGGATGAGTTTGCTCTTAAGATGTGGGATGAGAGGCCCGAAGGAATGGACATTGGTGTTTGTTTCAAATCTCAATCAGAAGCAAAGCATGCTATGAAATTATGGAACATCCATCATAAAAGGGAATATACGGTCGCCGCGAGTAGTCCAACGACGTTGGCTTAGCGGTGCAGAACATTAAATGTGGAAAGTGAGGATGGTGAACCACCATGTGAGTGGAAGTTGCGTGTGTCTTTGAAAGCTCACGGCCTTCATGAAATTGTGAGATGGCATGATGCACATAATTGCATGACTCCCGTGAATGATAATGACACTCGGTGTGTGAATGCGTCTTTGATTGCTAGACTCATCAGGAGAAAGGTTGAGGACAACGTAGATTATACATAGCCTCGGCACAGAAAGATGTGAAGACCTTATTGAAAGTAGATGTGGCATACAAAAGAGTGTGGCACGGGAGGAGGAAAGCCATAGAAGCGGTCTATGGTGATTGGACCTCGAATTTCGAAGAACTTCCACGGTAAATATCAAGGTTTATTCGTGTATTGAAATATTTTTAGTGTTTTTTTTACATGTATTGAAATATTTTAACTATGACTTGTTGTTGTGTAGGTATATTGCTGCGCTTAAGTTTACTAATCCTGACACTGTAGTAGAGTTGGAATGGAAGGAGGGACAAGAAGGTTGGAACAGGGGAAATAGGACATTTAAATACGTCTTCTGGTCATTTGCACCTGTGGCTGCGATGTTTTTTGAATGTCCACCGGTCATTTGTATCGATGGAACCTTCTTGCGTGGTGGATACAAGGGTAAATTGCTTGTTGCGGTGGTCTATACCGCAAACAAGCACATTTTACCGGTTGCATTTGCGATTGTAGATGAGGAGACAGTAGAGAGTTGGACATTTTTTATAAGGAATTTGAGGTTGTGGGTTGTGTATGATAGAATCGTACGTGTGATATCCGACCGGAATGCAGGGTTGTTGAGCACAATGTCATAGATGGATGAATGGCATGATTTAGGTGATGGTGGCCATTTTCTTTGCCTCCACCACGTTCGCAGCAATCTTGTGTCGCGATATAATAGCAAAAAGGTAAAGCGGTTATGTTGGAAGATAAGCACGACGCTTTCAAGAGTGAAATACAACCATATGAGGGTAGAGCTTATTAAATTCAAACCTGCTGCATGGGAGTATCTTCGAGGGATTGGAGGGAGTAACTAGGCTCGATTGAAAGCCGGTCTTCACTGTTGGGACATAGCGACAACCAACATTTCTGAGAGTTACAACAATGCGTTGAAAGGGATCCGTTTTTTTACCAATTAGAGCCTTGATCGATGCAATCTTTCGCAAAACTGTTAAATTCTACAAAGAAGAACAATTGTTTGCGAGAAATTGCATGACATCGATCCCTCCGAGAGTATGCAATTTGAGGAGAAACAGGGGAGACTCGGATTTCTAAAATCCGAGGTCAGACTTTTTTCCTGCAGCAAAGTACTCGAATTTCGGAAAGCCAAATTGGTGAAATCCATTCGAAAGTATGCAATTTGAGGAGAAACAGGGGAGACTCGGATTTTCGAAATCCGAGCTCAGACATTTTTCCTGCAGCAAAGTACTCGGATTTCAGAAATCCGAATTGGTGAAATCCATCCGAGAGTATGCAATTTGAGGAGAAACAGGGGAGACTCGGATTTCCGAAATCCGAGCTCAGACTTTTTTCCTACAGCAAAGTACTCGGATTTCGGAAATCCGAATTGGTGAATCCATCCGAGAGTATGCAATTTGAGGAGAAACAAGGGAGACTCGGATTTTAGAAATCCGAGTTTGAGGGGATCATGAAAGTAGGCTACAAAAGAGTGGATCTCGGTCCCATTACCGTGTTGGTGGAACGGTGGAGGCCAGAAACCCACACTTTCCATTTCAATTTCGGAGAGGCGACTGTGACACTACAGGATGTCGAGGTCCTCTTTGGTATTCGGGTGGATGGTGACCCGGTGTACGGGACGACACTTAGCCGGACTGCAGATGAATGGCGGGATCGATGTGAGGCTTATTTGGGATTCCGGCCAGCCCAAGTAAATGGCCAATGTGTCAATGTTGGTATTTTCGAAGATGAGATGGGCCGTGCACTCTCTGAGAATTCCACTGTCCATCGATTCGAGCAAAGGGCCCGGACATTTACACTGCATTTTATTAGTAGTTTCATGTTTCCTAACAAGACGCAAAACACTGTCAATCTGCAGCTCTTGGCCCAGGTTGAGAATTTGGATCAGTGTAGTCGATATAGTTGGGGACCGGCACTGCTGGCTGGTTTGTACTCTGGACTGTGCGAGGCATCACAGTACACCATGCACGATGCCACTCGCTGTCTATATTTGCTACAGGTACGTATTAGTTTTTAATTGGTGTTATAATTATTTTCCGCTTTCGATGTCATAATTTGAAGTTTTAACATTATTATTGAAATTTACTAGGTATGGGCGTATGAGCGGATCGAGAGAATCTCGCCGCAAAGAAAAGGAGTAGATTATTTGATTGATGAGACTGCTCCATTAGCTCAGCGGTACGTATTTTCAGTTCAAAATATCTTAATGTTTATTTCTATTTGTTTCTTATTCATTTTTTTTACTAATTCAAATGTACCCCTTTGTTCATTAAGGTGGGAATGTAGGTACACCCACGGAGACGCCCCAAGGAGCAGCACCCCACCTTTTAGAGATCAATTAACAAGCCTGCGTGTTGAAGATGTAAGTACTTGTAATTTGGTATTTATATTTACTTTGAATTTCTTTTCGTTTCGGTTATACCATCTAATGAAATTCTTTTCATGCAGTTTCGGTGGCAACCATATGCACAGGTCCTTCATAGATCCCCTGATTTCTGTACACAAGGCCAAGCCATTTGGACGACCAGGTGTTGGATGTTCTGTTGGGCTATTAGGGAACCCCATGAGTCGGGCAGAGTTGTGAGACAATTTGGATACATACAGGATGTTCCCAAGCGCCCTATGATTAAAGATAATGCAGCATTCCTTCTCGATCACGCCCACAGTATGTCTGGGTATCCTAGCAACAATTGAGTGGACCACCATTCCGCAGTACGTCGTCATTGGAATAGGAGAGAAGAGTACATGCTATGAGATTTGGAGGAAGGAGACCCTGGCTCCGTATATGAGGGGTACTATGAATGGTTCATGGTGAACACTGTCAGACTGATATCCAATCCCAAAAATTATGAACCTCAAGGATACGAGACTTCTTCGAGCCGAGTGAAATTATATGTGAGTTCATTCTATATTTTTTTTATTATTTCTTATGTTTTCATTTTATTTTTTTATTTTTATTTTTTTAGAATTTTACTCTCTTAATTAACGTCCCAATTTCTTTTCAGGGTGAAGTATTAAACAACATCTGCGTGAGTACCGAGAAGTTTAGAGAAAAACGAGAAGATGAGAATCTCCTAGATGAAGAACTCGACAAGCATTTGGACGATATCATCAATCAAACAGATGTTGCTTTAACCCTGGGCGCAAATGATGAGATGGAGGTGGAGGATACCCAAATCCTAGTTGATGAAGATCCATCTTTGCCCTCGCAATAAAAAAGCGAAACCGTGGTCGAGAGATAAGATTGGAGGAGGAAGAAAGAGGAAGATCCCAATCCCCCCTCGGACATCGCAACAACAAACTGAGGGTCAACAAAATGAGGATCAAGCACATTCTTCTCGAGACTCGCGCATTGATAATGGTTAAATTGTTACATAAAAGCATCACACTTAACTTTATATTTGATGAACAATTGGGGGTATTTCCTAACATTGATGCAAATTACTTAGCTCATTTTCATGTTATTGTTAGGAAAGGACCAGACTGAATAATTGCTGAAAATTGGAAGCCAAAGGAGCAAATTATGGGCTGCTGAGGCAAGATTGCTGAGCTGGACGAAAGAGAAGGCTCTTAGACAAGAAGCATCTTGTCATTAATAACCTTGCTCCCTCCTAGAGCATGCTGTCCCCCAGCTGCAATCCCAGCCACCATTGCTGATCAATGAGAGCAAAGCGGCTACTGCTGGAAGAAAGAAAAGGAACAGCCAAGTTGGATTGCAGGCTCAAGACATTGGAAGGATTAAACAACTCCAAGCATGGGGAGGTCCTCATGATGAAGACACCGGTTGCAAAGTACTATAAAGAAGGGGAGCGGCACTCTCACAAGGAGGGATCCATCACTCTCTGGTTAGCTTCTTAGTTGCAAAAACATTCAGAAAAACTCCAGGTAGGAGACAAGAAAGAAGAAGAAGCAGCAACAACTCAGTGAGGAAGCTAAGTTGAAGAATAGCAACTCGCTTTCTTCTTCGCCCACGAGTGGACCCTTCCACTCCCGGGAGTGACTCGAAACCGCACAAGCTTTCTTCTCATCTCTTGACTGTTAGCTTGAACTTTATTTATTATGCATACTTCTATGATGTCCTTTGATGTAGTAGATGTAGCATTTATTCGTATGAGTAGCTAAACAGTTTCGGGGTTATTCTCCTCAACCGATGTTGTAGTTGTCAAAGCACTGATTTTGTTCCTTGTTTTATGGTTGAAAGTTTTTCTACATTCATTTACTTGATCACTAAATTGAATGCATGCTAGAACTAAGGGAGATCTGGAAGGATAAACTTGGTTTGGATTGTTTCAACCTTAACTTATGACATAGAGGTAACAGTCTATGGTTTTAACTAAGATAGGAATATACTTAGTTAACATAAGCATTCTTGAAGGCCTAAGAACTTAATGACTTTGTAGCTGGAATCAATCATTGGAAAATAGGTTGTTAAGGTTGCAAAGATGACTCTAGGAAAAATGGGAACTGACTTAGAGTTATAAGTGAGCTGAATGAACAAGAACTCAACCATTACAGTGCTAATAAAACAACTACAACAGCAGGAAGAGGAGAAGAACACCCCTGAGTGACTGTTTTCATTCTCCTGAGTGACATCTTGTTGACTGACAGTTTTTCTTTACAACAAATTTGGTAATTAGCTGTCCTCGTGGGATCGACCTAGCTTCCACTATCTACAAAACTCATAATCCAAGCTAGTAATATATCTCTTTTTTTTTGGTGAACTCGGCAAGCACCACGCATCCAGGTCGAGACTCAATTTGAAGACATTGGTAGACCCGAGACTCAGTTTGACCTTGGTGGACCCGAGACTCAGTTTGACCGTGGTGGACCCGAGACTCAGTTTGGTGGACAGTCGCAACCACAACCGAGAGTCAAATTTCTCACCATGAGGGAGTCCCAATCCCAACCCCAACCCGAGGCTCAGTTTGGTGGACAGTCGTAACCACAACAGAGTTCAATACTCACGTATCTTAAGAGGGAGACATGATCCGACAGGGCCTAAATAAATACACTCAGGATGTGCACAATAAAGGAAAAGGCAAAAAATGAGACCTTTGATGTATTTTGCACATTTAAAGTAGTTTTTGTATTGATTTTGGTATGAAACTTGATTTGTTTTGTTGTTAATCGAATGCCGTTTATTGTTTTGTTGCCATTAAATTTCTGTCTTCCAATGTTTCATTGTTGTTGGTGCTATAAACAGGTTTAGGACTGGTTAAAACCAGTCCAATTTTTGTTTTCTGTTCTGACATAAACTCGGATTTGTGAAATCTGAACTCAGACTTTTTGTAAAGGATTCGGATTTCGTAAATCCGAGTATGTAGCCAACTGAGAGTTAGCATTTTTCAGAAAACAGAGGTAATCCGAATCTCCATTTATTCGGATTACCGTGATCCGAGTTTTCCCAAATTTAATTTTTTAACACATTTTCTTCTATCCGAAAATTAATATTTTATTCGTAAATACGGATTTAGAAAATCCAAATTTAGATTAATTACACTAATTTCTGTCATTAACTTAATATCAAATTTACGTAACACAAAGTCAGATTTCTATAATCCGAGTTCAGAGAGGTTCGGATTTCCGAAATCCGAGTTTCTCCCCCATTTGGATTTTCTAAATCCAGGACATATAAGTTTGTCCACAAAATTTTTGAAAGGTTTATTTTTGTCCAGGTGTATATAAGGAAATATATTTAAGGAAAAAATTCACACTTGTACTCATACAACAATTCATAGTAGCACTTATGAGCAATTCTCACTCTTTTCAAAATTATTTTAAAAACTAGGAGTAGGATTATATTAAAAAAATACTACACACGAGCATCTTTTTTTGAAATGTTTAACTGTATTTCATTGGGAAAACCGAGGGTGGCCTTGTCCACCCAAGGTGTATTAACTAAATAAACATGTTGTTTGCTCTTGATTGTCAATATAGTACTAATTGGATTATGTGAGGTCACTGGTGACCGAGGCTACTAGCCGTATTTGCATTTGTTTTGCATGATTAAGGGCCTTGGCAACTGAATGAGCAAATGTGTCATGAGTCGGAATAGAGCTTGGTCATGTTCTTTGTCGATAGTAGCTGTTAAGGATTCTCATGAGATATCCTGTTGGGAAAATGCCAAGCATGGAACAGAAACGCCCAAGCATGGTTCAACACATTACCCAACAACTCCATTTCCACTTGGGAAGAGTTAAGGCAGTGTTTCCTAACAAAATTCTTTCCACCTGCAAAAGCTGTACAACTCAGAACAGCAATAATGAACTTCAAGCAGCATGGAACAGAAACGGTTTATGAAGCATGGGAAAGATTGAAAGAAATGGTCAAAAAATGCCCTCAGCATGGTTTGGAAGAACATCTTCAACTGAGCATCTTCTACAATGGTCTGCTACCAACTACAAGAGATTCCCTTGACGCTGCAGCTGGTGGTGTATTTATGATGAAGCCAGTTGATGCAGCAAGGCAATTGCTCGACAATATGACCACCAACCATTCACGATGGCAATCTGATCCAAGGGCAATTTCAAAACAGCCAGGGATGATGGAACTTAATCCCAGTACACATTTGCAAGCTCAAATGGCTGTTATGATGAACGAAATGACTAAGCTCAGGAGTGAGCTGTCCAAATCCAAGGCAGAAGTATGTGTATTATGTGATGGATCCCACAGTCTGGATGACTGCCCTTCCAAAATGGAAGCTGTCCAGTTTGTCAGACAGGGCAATGCAGGGGGATTCAACACCTTCAACAATTGGAGAAATCAACAACAGACCAACTGGAACAATGCTCCACAACAAGGAAATTATCAAAGGCCTGCTCAACCCCCAGGATTCCACAGACAAGATGGTCAGCTTCCCAACTATCAGAATCAGCAACGTTCTAACCAACAATACATACCAAGGGAAGATGAATGGATTTCTGTACAAAATGCAATCAAGAGTTTGGCGGTGTCTTGTAAAATTTTGGAAAATCAGTTGGCCCAGATTGCAAAACAAAATACTGAAAGACCATCGGGGAGCCTGCCCAGTGACACAATTGTGAACCCCAAGGGGAATGACCAAGAGCAAGCGAAGGCTGTCACTCTCCGAAGTGGAAAACAACTCAATCAGCCAAGTGAAGAAGTCACTCCTGCGAGTGACCCTGCAGGTAAAAATGAAACTTTCTCTGAGCAAATATCTGATAATGATGATATGGTTGAACAGGAGCAACCCGCTGAAAAACCTGGAATGGAGGGAATTCAATTTCCAGCACCAATTAAGGAACCACAACAGCCAGCTCCGACGCCACCATAACCAGTAAGACAGAAGAAAGCAAAAATGGATGAAGGACTCAACAGGTTTATTCAGAATTAAGAAAGTATACATATTAATGTATCACTTGTTGATGCACTTAAACAAATGCCTAAATACTTTAAGTACTTGAAGGATTTGGTGGCGAATAAGCCACAAATACATAACTCTGCTTTTGTCACTCTAAATGAAGAATGTAGTGCAGCTATCCTGAGAAAATTACCACCTAAGCTAAAAGATCCGGGTAGTTTCACTCTTCCTTGCACTGTAGAAATCAGAGAATTTTCAAAAGCATTGCTAGATCTTGGGGCAAGCATAAATCTCATGCCATTGTCTGTATTCAAATCCCTTGATCTGGACAAATTTCTGGTACCTACTAACATGACCTTGCAGTTGGCAGACAGATCTCTGACTTACCCAAAAGGAATCTTACATGATGTTCTTGTGAAAGTTGGTAACTTTGTTTACCCAGCCGATTTTGTGGTTTTGGACATGGAAGAAGACAGGGATGTACCCATCATCTTGGGGAGACCTTTTCTGGCAACAAACGATGTAATCATTAAGGTGAAAAAGAGAGAAATCACACTGCATTTTGATGGGGAAAAGGTTACCTTCAACATCTTCAAAAATATGAGATATCCCGCTGAAGTCCACGACTGCTACATGGTAAGAGATGTAGAAGCAGAAGAAGCAGTGACGGAAGAATTACTGCAAGACGATCTCCTCAAGGAACTGTGGTGCCCAGACTATAATGAGGAACAGGAAGGAGGGGATGAGTACAGGGCCACTTGCCTGAGCTACCTGAACCACTCCCCCAAGTGGCATCCTACACAGCAACCCTTTGAACTGATAAACCTGACCAAGGAAGGGAGATGCCTCAAACCTTCAAGTGAAGAACCACCTCATCTCGAACTTAATCCTTTG